GTGATTAGGTTCGCTATAGGTTGAGTAATGACAGTGTTTTGAACCCAATCTGTGGGTGATGAGTTAATATCTGTGCGTGTTGGATTTGTTTGTGTAGGTTGAGTAATCACTGAACTCGATTTAAGGCCCCACAGCCGACCCTCCAATAGGAGGTCGCCACTTGGCCCTTAAGTCATCCATGTAGTACACCATGGAGTAAGTGTAGCGTGGTAGACCACATTAATGCATCAAATAACTACATGCCATGTGTGTGCCACATAGGGCGACTGCTGCAGTGAGCGACTGCAAGTAGCATTACTCTATTGAATAAGGTACAAAACTGAATAAATTGATACTAAAGATAGCCTTTCTATTTTACATAAGTTGGAATACTTTCTCATGTCCCCATGTCCTTTTAACTTTGCAGATTGGCACAAAGAAACACTTTAACCATCATCTGGGTTTCATATTCACATGCATATACCTGTAAGATGTCACGTTTACTTTAGGATGTTCATACTGAAACATATTAATGACCTTTCAGTTAATCAATGAAATTCAAAGATGTCCTTTAGACAAATAATTTAAATTATTGTTTATTTTATCTGAACACAAATGATTAGAACTTTAATTTCTGCATTCATTTATATTCTATTTTTGTACATCTTTGCATTGCGCATGTATTAACACGGATAAAACAAAAAAGGGTTTTTTGGTGTTATATTTTTTACTTTTGTGTTCGGGATGAGAATTCTGGGATGTCAAGACTCACTCTCGTCTCCTTCCAAGTTACAGTGGTTAAATATAGTATCACATTACATCTCATTGACATCTATTGTATTGCTTATGAGTAATTTCTTGCTACACTTCAACTTCATCTTGTCAAATCAGCATCTAATTGTGGGACCTGAATATATTGTCTTTGTAATTCGTTGTAGGAAGTTTTGAACGAAGCTGCTTCCGGAGGAAAATATGCAAAAAGAGTCAAACTGAAATTAGAAATCAAATTAGAGGTCAGATACTTTCCACAAAAAAGGAGTATAATGAAGGAAAAATTCTCGGTAGATTATGTAAATACAGAAAGGGGAGACATTATGTCAATTTTTGATTCTTGAAATTCTTTAAATAAGATTACGAGGACTTGGATTCTTTTCATTTTATTTGCATCCAAGGGCTGTCAAAAAGGAATTTTTTGTTAATATATTTGCATTGGTCATTTCGATTTTTCATAGTCTTTAGTTTGACATGTTATTTGTATACTTATAGAGAATGAGTTCAACTTGAAAGGAATTGCTGTAAGTTTCCTAATCNAATAAATTTAAGGTTGGAATAATTACTGAAACCAATTGAAGTTCAAGTTGAAGAATGGAGACACCGATTCAGGATGCTTGGCTGCACTGGAAGTTTTGAGGGTTTTATCGCGTTATAATTTTTTTGATGGTGCAGTGCACCAACCACATTCGATAAAAATATAAACCCTTCGTCATAAAACCCTCAAAACTTCCAGTGCAGCCAAGCATCCTGAATCGGTGTCTCCATTCTTCAACTTGAACTTCAATTGGTTTCAGTAATTATTCCAACCTTAAATTTATTTTTTAGTTCTCTTATCTATTTATCGTATTCACTGTTTCACGCTCACACAAAGATTGACAATGAAGACGCCGAAGAATAAAAAGCAGCACAAAAAAGTGGGGCTTGAAAAGATAAATGGGACTTTAACAAAGAATAGAACAGCAATTAGAACAAGCAGCTGACAAGTCCGAAGATTCTTCTTCCGATTATGATTTTGAAGTTGTTGACAATGAGGTAATTACTGCTTCCTTCCAAAATATTTTATTTAGGGCTCTATTTGTGTTCTTGGTGCAAATAAATGATGTTAGCTTCTTATTTTAGCTGGTTAAGTGCAATGTTTGATTTTTATAACGTCTTGTATATGTTTTTTAGGAAGGGTTTAAAAGTTTTAAACTGGGAATTGAAAAAATTGTTATGACGGAAAATTAACATTTCTTTCTTCATATTATATGTGCTTGGAAATATGATTCAGGAGGAAGACAATGCCTATCTTAATTTTTTTATTTTCAATTGGAATAAAATAATGGGAAATGTCTTAAAAGTTTTAAGGTCTAGTTTGTAGGAAAAAAATATATTTTTTTTTTCCCTTTTTCCTTTGAAATTGGGATTATATTGGTAATTGATGATGCAAATTGAATGCTGCTGAACCACGATTTTCTATTGATCACACGAGTTCACTTGTGTGATGGAGTAGGAGGTTATGCATTAGGGAAATTATGGCAACAGCGGCCTTTTTATTTGGACCACAGCTATTTTGCAAATTTAAGAAATCCTTTGTACTTGGATTCAGTGATTTCATTTTGTCGTCTTGATGATGGTAGAGTTTATCTGAGGATGAAGGCTCCACAAGTGAATCAGGATCCGAACAGAGTGTACTCTCTGACGATGAGGTATGCATGGCGATTCCCGTTTTAATAGTAAAAATTATTCCTGAAACAAATTTGGATAATTTGATATCCCTACCCCTTCAATTATTTATGCAAATAATCTCAAGGATTTTTACGAGTGTTAGAATGTGAATGTTCAAAAATTAAATGTGATATTTTTGAGGGGGAATCCAGTTCCATTATCTGAATTCCACATTAACGCATGTGCAGGCTATATAGTTTTACAAATGTGGTTGTTAAAAATGTGATATCTATGTTATTTGTTTGGAAAGATTTGGTTGTCTTTTGCTGTGAGTTTTTTAACTTAACAGTGCTTGCTTGGGTTTTCTCGGAACCCATGTTATGTCTTCTTGTGTCATTTAATGTCTGCATACATTTTTTCACTTTGTATGTTAAAAAGAACAAGTATCTTTTTTCTTCACTTAGTAATGGTGATGGGTGATATGGCAGGATGTTGTCTCAAGTAATGATGATGACGACGACGACGATGATGATGGGAGCGCTGGTGATGATGATGGGAATGATGATGATACTAGAAATAGCAGCAAAGTGGATGAAGGGGAAAGTGATGACTCCCGTGAAGTAATTGAGGAAAGTGATTCATCTGAAGATGAGGTTGGTGGCATATTACTAGTTTCTACTAATAGAATGTTTACTATTTTGGATTTAAACAATATTTCTTCACTGTCCGTATCATTTTTTGGGGGTCAAAATCAGGTTGCTCCTCGTAATACTGTTGGTAGCGTTCCATTAGAATGGTACAAGGATGAGGAACATATTGGATATAATTTAGCAGGAAAGAAGATCAAGAAGAAGGAAAGACAGAATAAGCTGGATTCATTTCTTGCAAGTGCTGATGATTCCAAGAGTTGGTGAGTTCATAAGTTCATTAGGTATTTGAGTCTGAGCTTCGACTAAAGAATTTGAACAATGTATGCTGGACAAATGCTCTTTTGATGCTCAAGAGTCACGTATATTTTGCCTTTTGTAAGAGGCTTTGGTATGATTACTTGTATTATTTCATCATATTCAGGCGTAGGATATATGATGAGTATAATGATGAGGAAGTGGAGCTAACCAAGGAAGATACTAAACTTATCCGCAGATTATTGGAAGGAAAGGCCCCACATGCTGATTTTGATCCATATGAGGTGTGCGCTCTCCCATATTTCGTCCTTTGTTTTGGTTTTTCCGTCTTTTGGAATTTGGAACTTTGTAATTCTACTAATATATATCTGTGGAGATTATGCCTCCTGAAGAAACTTCTCATGGTTCTTGTATTCTGCAGCCGTATGTTGATTTTTTTGCTTGGGATGACTCCAAGCATCCACTTTCCAATGCGCCAGAACCAAAGAGACGTTTTATTCCTTCAAAATGGGAGAGTAAAAAGGTAAATTATAATGGAGCATATTGCTTATTGGTCAAGCAATTTCTTATAAGTAACATTTCAAGCCGTCACACTGTAAAGATGTCGTTATATCTACTCCTTTGACTGTTCCATAAATGCATTATGAAACTGAAAATCTCATACATGCGTTCTCAAACAAAGTTGGACAGTTCTAGGACCTCAAGTTTTTGAGATGATATAGTTTTTTTGTCGAATGAAAAGAAAGATCATTTTGTATACAAAATATACTAATCTGAGTAAATTATTCATACTATGCTGAATTGCATTAGAAGTGATCAAGGATAAGAGAAATGATCTGTTCTACAATATTAAGCTATACTTATTTCATACTGTTCATTTAACTTCGAGTCATGACACAACCTATGGGAGATACAGAATTAACAGGAAGCTGAGACATATGTCCGTTTCATATTTTGCCTGTGCTACTTATCCATGCTTCTTGCAAATCATAAAAATGTGAATTAAGTTGTTTGTAGTACTTTTTAACCAATGAAATCATTCTCGGGAGGTCTTTTTATGGACATTTTGCATGCTTGCTTTTTTGACATTATAAATATTTTCTTCTTGGCAGTTGGTGTGACAAGATGTTAGCAAGAGTTTCTATTGGTAATTTTTTTGTGTGAGGCACCTGCATTTATTTTCATCACTTGTGGGAGAAAATAAATAAATAAAAATATTTCCAAGATGTTTACTGCTTGCATATGCTTCAAAGTACAAGGATATACTCCTATTTCTTTTATGCATGTGAATGGTTTCTGTTCTATGTCTGTGTTTTTCTCTTTTCAATCCCAATGTTCTAAAACTCTAAAAATTGATGGATATGTAAAATGAGTAAATATTTCATTATCTTTGGAACTTAGTTTTGTTATTCATTTTTTCTCTGTATATTGTTTTGAGCTTCTAGGTTCTCGAGCTTGTCCGGGCATTCCGAATGGGACGTATAAAGTTTGATGATAAACCTAAGGAAAAGTCGAATCTTTATGATGTGTGGGCAGATGATTCTAGCTTGACAGAACGACAAGGATTGGCACATATTCCCGCACCGAAGTTCAAGTTGCCAGGTTTAAGATTGAAATATGATATACTCATGACTTCTTGGATTGTCAAATATTTAGTTAGCAATTGTATTTAAAAGAAGGTTGCTACTAACTAAAATTTTATTTTAGGTCACGAGGAATCTTTCAATCCTTCTGGAGAATACATCCCATCACAAGAAGAAATTAATGCCCTCCAGCTCATTCTTGAGGAAGACCGTCCTAAATTTATTCCCCAGCGGTTTTTCCCAATCCTGTTGATTATTCCAGTTCATCTTGTTTCCACTTTTGACGCTTCATATTAAAATATCTGGAATATAAGCCTTCATATTCTGTAGGTTCGAGTTCTACCGAAGTGTTCCTGCTTATGATAAAGCTGTTACTGAAAGGTTTGGTCGTTGCTTGGATCTTTATCTATGCCCTCGAGCTCGGAAAAAACGGGTATGTCTGATTATGCATTGAACTAAAATCAATAGATAATTAATTAACTATAATTTTCTCATTTCAGATTAATATTGATCCTGAGACGTTGAAGCCTAAGTTGCCAAGTCGTAAAGATCTTAAACCTTATCCAACAACATGTTATCTGGAGTACAAAGGTCATAAAGGTCCTGTCATTTCAGTTACTACAGAATCTACCGGTCAATGGATTGCTTCTGGTCTGACTTCAATTGTAGCTGCGTCTTCTATCCCCATCTCAAAGAAATACAATAGTTAGAATTGAGTATTACAATGTATTTTTTCCTTTTTTATGAAGGTTCAAATGATGGAAGTGTTCGTGTTTGGGAGGTTGAAACTGGAAGATGTCTTAGGGTCTGGGATATAGGCGAACCTGTTCAGCAAGTTTTATGGAATCCTCTGCCTGAGCTTCCTTTATTAGCAATTGCAGCGTAAGACCATTACCTGAGCATTTTCCTATTTTGTCTTTTGAAAGTGGGTATCATATTGACACAGCAAATTTTGTACTACTACATTCTGCAGGGGTCAGGATGTGTTTATTTTGAACACTGGATTAGGAAGTGAAGAAGAACAGAAAATGATTGAAGAGCTTCTGCGTATTGAAACCCCAACAGCACCGGATGATTCTGGTCAGTATTAGTTAGATATTTCTTGCCTTTTGTTTGAAGTTAATGTTCAGCATTCATGTATATCTCTTGTATTCAGACAAGAATGCATCCTTTATCAGCTGGGGTCCCGATGAGAAGCATGGGGGAATCAGGTTGAAACACTTTAAGGTACTGTGCATGTCTTTTTAACATTTTAGTTGTGCAATGAATTTGGAGCTGGTTGTCATCGCTCATCCATGGAATCTATGTGCTTCTGTTTACTGGTTTGTGCAGACTGTATCTTCATTAGAGTGGCATCGCAAGGGAGACTATCTTTCAACGCTTATGCCACATGATATCCTTCCTTCAACTCTGAAGTTTATTTGTTTACTGATTCACTCTTACCTTATAAATGCAATGGTCTTTTTCATTTTTATTGAAGGTGAAATAATTCATCTGCGTAGTTTGTCTTTCAGTACAAGATAAACCACTTTGGCACTTACAGGTTACGGCTACTTACTACATTAGAGGAAATATGTGTTATATTTAGCCCCCGTTTGATCCCCATTTTTGGGGTAAAATGTATTATTGAATCGTGAATTTTTGGAGAAAGTGTGGTTAAAAAGTAAGGAATTTTTTTGAAGTACGTGTATAATTTTTTTTATCGGAGAATGTGGTTAAAAATGAGTTTTGAAAAAATGCATTCTTGAAAAAATGGGGAGGCTTAGAGATATTGTGAAAATGAAATATTAACGTGTTTACTGCATTTATTTTAATTGACTTTATATTTTAACTATTGTTGTAACACATGGTCTTGGTAATGTTGTTATATGTGTGATGAGAGGTTCTCTTTTCATCCATAGGAATCAGGCTTTGCTGTGAAGCAATTAATATTATCCGTGTGTTTTTGCTCATTTCTTAACTCATTTGTACGTGAATCAAGATCAGTATTAATCCACCAACTCTCTAAGAAACTTACCCAAAGAATACCTTACAAGTTGAGAGGACTTCCTGTTTCATCTGCCTTCCATCCGATTCGTTCTATATTCTTCATTTCAACGAAGAAGGATGTTCGTGTTTATGATCTGTTAAAGCAGAAGCTTCTTAAGAAGCTTGAACCTGGAGTGCGTGAAGTTTCCTCCATTGCTATTCACCCTGGTGGTATATTTCTGTTCCCAAGATCTCTCTCTCTCTATACACACACATTTTTTAGGTCATATGTTTTAAACTTGTCTGTGCCCCTTGTAATGCAGGTGATAATGTCATTGTGGGAAGCAAAGACGGAAAATTGTGCTGGTTTGACATGGACCTTTCTTCTCAGCCTTATAAAGTCCTCAAGTATGTAACCACTATTAATTTTTATTCAAGAGGGTTTTAGTAAAGTTTCTTCAACTTTTTTGTTGAAAAATTTGAAGAATGCTCGAACTTGCCAATTTTGCATCGATAAAATTTTAGGCAAATGTTAAGACGGCATAGTAAAAGTTTCTACCTGTGAAGATATAGATAGGATGAGCAAGCATGGATCATTAACTCCATTCCTGGAGTAGATTAATAATATGAGATTTGATGGATGATATAAAAGGTAAGTCAAGCTAGCAAACTATTCTTTAGTTCTAGGCGGGTAAGCACTAGCGTATCGTTCTCTTGCAAAGAGTGTGTTAGTGCAAGAAGATTCCTGTGGTTGTCCATTATTAACTTGGAAGGGCTGGACAGTATAATGTATAAGCTTTTAACTTCTTTTTCTTCTCTAATATTGTTCAATCCTGTCAGGTACACCAAACATGTTTTGAAGTTACTTTTTGTTTATATATTGTGAATTGTAGCTGTGATATGACTTTGACACCTGGTTTCTAAATTTGCAGGCCTCATAAAAAAGACATCAACAAAGTCTCTTTCCATCGTTCATACCCTTTATTCTCGTCATGCTCAGACGATTGCACTGCATATGTTTTCCACGGAAAGGTTTATTCGGATCTGAATCAGAACCCTTTAATTGTTCCCCTGGAGATTCTACGTGGGCATGCCAGTGCGGATGGAAGAGGTAAATATTGTTTATGCATGCCTTTGTTCAAAGTAGAACTATTTTGTTTGGATTAAAATATTTAATTTTCTGTACCGATTTCAAACTTGATTTGATCAAATCAGCTATGCCAATTCTACGTTGAAGGAAATAGACAGCACTTCTAGCATTAATCACACACGGGAAACTGACATCTGTTTTCCTAAATGTTACACTTGCCTAGATGTTGAGCCAAATGATATGTGTCTCTATCTTTATCATATTACTCTTTTAACATCCTGATCTTCTGATTGATAAATGAAAATTTGCAAGAAAAGAGGAATTGTTTAAATTTATGGAGACGTGTAATATTGTATCAATCTATGTATGAGTTCAATGTTTACATAGTATCAGTAGCTGCACAAGTTTTTGAAAATAACTTGTGCCCATGACTAGTGAAGCCCATTCCGTTGGGCGGGGTTTGAATTGGTGCCCTTTTGGGATTCCTGGACATGGTTTTTACTTCTACGCATTTTTGACTGTGAAGTCTGAAAACAAGTAAAAGTACTTTTTTGGCAAGTAAGGTTCTACGTAAGTTTTTGAACTAGTCCCCCCAAAAAGTAACTTCTGTAAAATATCAAACACGTTTGTCTCAAAGCTTAAAGTTACTTTTTACGAATGTTTAGGCTTCGTATCTCTAATGTTGGTTCTGCATTAATGTAATGATCTATCGTGGCCTCTCAACTTCAGTAATTAGCTGCCCTAGAGATGTTCATATTGTGGCATAGCCCACTATGAAGATATATAAGCTGTACGCCTAATTGTGATGGTGATTTTTGTAGGAGTTCTGGACTGCAAGTTCCATCCAAGGCAACCATGGCTATTTACTTCAGGCGCCGATTCAGTTATCAGGCTCTATTGTTATTAATTGCTTGTTTGTCTCCCATTATGGGAGAAAGAATGATGTTTTGAATAGTATTTTTTGGAGAATATGTGGTTAAAATTGAAAGAAATTTTATTGGCTTATGTGTAGAATATTTTATTATTTGAATGTGTGTCGGAGATTGATTACTGTAGAAAATAATGTTTTGAAAAATAGTAGACAAACAGGGCTTAAGAAAGGTCATACTGGAAGGCAATAGTATATTTCAAGTTCCATTGTTATAGGGCGTTGGAAGATTATCAAATCCCAACCTAGTTCAGGGTCTTTCCGAGGAGAGCCTGAGAAAAGTATTTTGGTCTGTATCAGAACCTTTGAACTGATACAAGGTTTATTGTTCTATTTATTTTCCCCCTTATTTCAAGCTACGAGTCTCGGACAGAATCCTCAATGTTATTTCGGTCTATTGCTATTTTGACATGATGTTTGACGTGTTGTGTAGTAATGCAATATGGGAATGATTACTTTTTAAGCTAATTTTATTCAAAATTCTCATTAATAAGTTTGTTTTTTTTAGCTCGACCTCAATCCTATGGGGGCTTGTTTGGCATGATGTCTACCTCTTGTAGAAGCTTTTTGAGAAAGCGATTTTAGATGAACTTCCGTTCAAAAGTTCTTATAGCTAGGCAAAGGACTTTCCTAAAATCATTCAAATATTATCAAAAGTGGTTTCTTAGTAGGATTATGTCATTTTGTCCAAAAGAATTGATAGATGCAGTGATAGATGAAGTGGTAGTAGAAGATGAATTGATGGAAAAGTTGATCGTGTTTTAAACAGTCTAATAATAAAATGTCAAGTTGCATTATATCAAGGGAAAAATTTATGGTTCAGGCATTAACTATGAAGAAATCAATAATCAGGCATTAAGTTTCGTAGTTGCAAAACTCAGGTATTTAGTAATTAGTTAAATATTAATTCTATTATATTTACAAATCAATCTCCACCTTCTTACTGATACGGGATTTTTCTGTTATATTACTTTCCATTAATTGCGCTTGCAATTAAGACTCCCTAAAATACCAAATCACCCGCCTAAAATACAATTTCGGCTTTGTTACAACGGAATCCCTCTCATTTGATATTGACGGCAGTACAATCGGGCTTCCAGGTTACAGTTCCAAGGTGTTAATATCCGGCCACCGATTCAAATTCTAGCCAA